ATGAGAAGATAAGTTTATTTTCAGTTTAAACATAAAACAGCATTTTAATAACAGCTAAAGGTGACATAGATACTTTATTACGGTATAGTATTTAAATATACTGTATACATGAGAAACACATAATATTGCCCCTTTAAAAACTGTTACACAACAGCTTCCCTGTTCACTGCTGTTCAACTTCACTAAAGAGAATATTTTTTAGCTTCAGAACWAGTATGAAATAAACTGACCTCAATTTTTTTTCTTGCTGAGCCTCTGGTAACAAGATTCACCCTCACTTCTTATCTTATTGTTATTCTGAAAGCAAACAAAAACTGATTTACAATTCTAATGCAGTGTCCCTTGTTTACAAGTTTCTCTGCTGAATAATAAAAGCCATTGAACGTGTCTAAATCTGACTCTATTGTTCAGCTTTAATGACCGTGTCGCCCTSTGCGCAGGTGTTGCTGCAGCTAGCCAGCGGTGCGTTTGCCCTGGACTCGGCTCTGTGTGAAGCCATTAATGTGCCGATGGACAAGCTGAAGTGGACGTCTCCGTTCACCAGCCACCGAACAAGCCTGGCCCACCCGTCCCACTCCAGCAGCAGCCGCCGCGTCGACGACGGGTGCAGATCGCTATTTGAGCCAGAACTGTATGCAGAGCAGGCAGCGTCAGTCCACGGTCCCTCTCTGTCCTCGAAGCACGTCTGGGCAGACGCCAGTCCCTCGTTCCACGGGGAGTCTGTTGATCCTGCTCTCTCTCTGGCAGACGTACGGAGCTCGGGGAGCTCGGACACGTCACCGGGCGGCGCGTCGAAGAGGATGCTGGATCCAGAGAGCATGGTGTGGGCAACGGCCGTGGCCCTGGCCTGGCTGGAGCACAGCTCAGCCAGTTATTTCATCGAGTGGGAACTGGTGGCGGCCAAGGCCAGCATGTGGCTGAGCGCACAGGAAGTCCCAGAAGGGAAAGATTTAGCCTCCATCAAGGCTGCTGCCAATCAGCTCTTCATCATCCTCAGACACTGGGATGAAAACCTGCAGCTCAACATGTTGTGTTACAACCCCAACAGTGTCTGAGGCCTCTGCAGGGTCTCAGACCCTCACCATACTATGCTGATCAAAGCTGGACCATTTCCTGCCCAGCACTTTCTGCTCTGGAGTCTGGTTTTAGCTGTTGCAGTTGTGAATAATGTGTGTTTTGCTCTGGTTGTGTGCTGTTCCTCCAAACATATCACAGGCTCTTCAGACACCTGGGGCCAAGGACGTTCAGGATCTGGTCTGGGTCAGGTGYGTCCGAGTGAAGCCACATATGTGTGATGTAAGAACATCAGTGTTGACGTGGAAGCATGTCCATAAGGTTCAGAGAACAACTTTTGTCTTCTTCTTGCTGTTCTGAATAGGATGCTGCAAAACAGAGACTTTTCACTGATTTCTCGTCTCTTACTGGTTTCACATCTTTACTGCATTTAGAGAAGTGATGGTGTCGTAACAAACTATCTTGGTTGTTTTTGGTCTTCTTCAGTTAAACTGTAGCAAAGAAAAATATGCAAAGAGCTGAAGAAAATGATATGTGGATCATATCTAAACATAAATGTAGTTTAAATGAATGTTTCCCTCTAGCATGCAGTTAATGCACAGAATTCTTTCTTTTTTTCTTGGGTTCTTCTGTTAGTTGGGTTTTATTCTGATRCAGAGTCAGGTCTACCAGCAGTTTGCAATTTTAAAATAAGTCCAGTAAAAAAATAAAATGTTTAAAAACGGCCTGAGCCTTCCAGGTTTAACKTCATTAGAACTAAATCCACCAAAATACTTGAATCATCTGTTTAATAATAGCGCCCATTCTTAAAGAAGTCTATTAAATGATCGTGTGAGACATGGAAGCTAATAAATATTTAAGTTAAAGTTGTAAATGATCAAACTGCAGAGCTTAGTTTTAATTTTACTGATAAAAGACTAAACRTACCTAAAAATGGATCTGCAAGCAGCTGGTGTGCCCAACATGAAGCCCCGCCTACACAACTGCAGATATTTATATTTATTATTTCCACTTATTATAACTTGATGACACAGTGTTAACACCAAGCAGCTGGCAAAAATGTCCACAATGACATTTTGGTGGTGAAGCATTAATAAGTTATTTTTAGTTGGAAACTATTTCAGCTCATTATTAAAAGCCGCTGGATAAAACTGGTAAAAACTGCTTTATTGTTGTAGTTTTGATGTCACAAAGTGAGAGTGGACCTGAGTAACTAAATCAGTTCATCTGTTTCTTTACCTGATTTCTCCTGTTTGGGTTACAGAGGACTTGGTGTGAGAGATGGGGTTCCACCTGGACCAGTCCTCAGTCCCTGGCTGTTCTGTCACACTTTCTGAATGTTTTTATCTCAACTTAAAAATCCACTAAAAATATTGTTTTTATAAAATCTCTTTTCAGGACAGTGCTTTGAAAGATCAACATTTTTTTCTAGCTAAAAACTGAGCTGTAATGACCAAGTACATGCGGGCGAGTGGGCGTGTCACAAGGAAAGGCGATTCTAAAGCGACACACCTGATTTGACGGACTTTGTTAAAGGGACACACCTGATTTGACGGACTTTGTTAAAGGGACACACCTGATTTGACGGACTTTGTTAAAGGGACACACCTGACTGGACAAGCAAAAGTGGGGCGTTATTGTACGGCACCACTTTTTTCTGGAGAACCCTACTTGGGTCACATTTCTCCTGGTTAACCTTAGTGTTGGGGTCAGGGTCAGGCTGTGTAGAGATCTAGCAGGGTCTAAGGATACCGTCATGTAGGCCTCGTAGCCCACAGTATATGGTTTAGACACGCCCACTCTTGTGACACGCCCACTTTGAATGATTCTGCAGATAACCCCTTCTCGTAATGACACACATTAACGTGCACGTGGACGTGCACATCGACACAATGTGATTGCATGAATAGAGCAGCAGAGTTCTGACACAGGGTCAGTTCTGTCTGCATCTGATCAGGTGTGTTTTTACAGGCCTGCTCTTAAAAATAGAAACTTTAGGGTAAAGTATGTTCATGTTGATGTTGGTGACACTCAAAACATGTAGTGGATTTACTCAAAACATTTATGTCAACTGGTTCCACTCAATTGAACTGAGTAAAGGTGACACATTTTACTTTAAGTAAATGTAAAGTAAATGGGTTACCTTCACTCARATCAGTTGAGTGGAACCAGTTGACATTTCTTTTTTAAGTAAAATCCACTACATTGTTTTTTGAATGTGGTCTGGTTTTCTCTGTAGTGACACCTACTGTTCAGGAGGAGAACTGTAGCAGCACCGGTACAAGCAGCAACAGAGTGTGCTTCACTCTGATCAACTAATAATCCAGAAAAGAAGTTGAACTTCTGTCCCATAAAGCTTTTTAATAAATATGTTGTGTTGACTCAGTGCTGACAGATGCTGGAAGGTTTCTTCATTTCTCTCCAGGCTTCAGTTTTCTGTTGTTTATTTAAAAGTTAGGTTTTTGTGAGCAACCATTTTTAAATAGACGGTAAAAGAKTAGTCATAAAAAATTACAAAATGATTTCTTCCCTTTGTTGTATTGCACTGAATGAAAAACTCATACTGAAATGATTTGTGTTAATGTGAAAGACTGAACATAAATTATAAAATCTTTATAATGTTTTTTCTTCTCTGCTGCCTTTCATTTCATCTTATTTGTGATTTTGATATACACATTTTTTTCCTCATTTCTTTTTATATTTTCTTATTATTACGTATAAATTTAT